CCAAATAATAAACTRCCCTCATAAAAACACGCACCTAGCGGGCCGATAATGATTTTGGCGGGCTGCAAATCTTTTCGTATCRGCCCTGTCGCTGATTGGCCCAACGAGGGTCTTACGATCATGCTCGACCAATCAGATTTCATTGTGATAACAATTTGAAAGCGCGCSAGTTGTTTTTAGCTGCGACTCAAGTATTGAGTTTTTGAAACSATTTATCACTCAAAAAATATGGCAAATATTCTTATTTCGACCTGGAAGTAGCGAATAGTCAAGGTTCTGACTTAGGCCAAGAGCAGCTTGACGAAATAGAAGCGAAAGCTCAAGCCAAAAACACAAAGGGAGCAACTTTTTTCATAATTTTTATTTGTTTGTAATAAACAGTTTACAACATATAACAAAGGTAACACTTACATAAGTACAAAAAGAAMATATAAATTATACAAATTAACCAGACAATACATAGTACTAATAAAGAAACCAAAGAAAAAAGAAAGGAAAAAATAATAATTGGCCTTAAAACAAATAAATAAGAATTGACACCCTTGTYATGACTATTCTRATAMTTTCTGTATCAATTCGTATTTGCTTGCATGTGTGCACAGCCTATCATGCTTTTGAGCTATCTCAAATTCAGTTTTTTCGTAGTCCATAAGTAGGTTTTTGTAATGAATTATGCTAGGTCTGCGCCCTTCCTTTTGCTTATCAGAGTAAAGAGTATATTTATAAAGACTAAGTAAAAATTCCAGAAGGCTATCATTTGAAAATCCTAACACAATAATTGATAAGTTTAAGGATGGCAAAACTATATTAAGAGCGGGTGTCTGAAAATATCGACTAACATTGTAAAAAATTAAAAAATAAAAAAAATCCAAAAAAATCTCAGACATAGCCCCAGGTGAGATATAAATGGGAAAAATAGTAAAAACTTGATCAGAGTTTTATTTATCGAGAAATCGGCGATTTTCTGTTTNCACTAAGTTCATGGCTGTCTACTTGTTCATAAAAGTCAAGGGATCCCGACCGATGACGTGTCAGTACGAATGCATGAAAAAATTGGGATTGCCGCAAAAGGAAAATCCTACTTTTAAGTCGTGACGAAAGTGTGCCGAGTGTCTCCGAGTAAAGCCACGCCTACCGACTTGACTTTCGCCACTAAGTTCGTGGCTGTCTACTTGTTCATAAAAGTCAAGGGATCCCGACCGATGACGTATCAGTACTTAACAGTGGATATGGTCGAAACAGCAAAGAGCAATGGAGGATTTATCGATCAGAAAAAATTCAAGACAGCTGCACGATATGGATTTGATAGCTTATACTTATCTGACACTAGTGTTCAAGTGCTGGATGCCTACATCATCCACGTGCGTCCACTTTTAAGGCCGACGTGTGACTATGTTCTCGTGACGAAAAATGGTGGGCAGCACAGTAAGATCGGCGAACTCATGGGCAAGATGGTGTTTGATGCTACGGGGAAATATATACACCCGACACGCTACCGACAGATTGTCGAAACCGCCAGTCAACAACAATTAAACAGCGAAGAGCAGGRAACGATTTCCGAAGATCAAAAACACAGTTCGGTGGTGACGATCCCGCGACGATCCCGCGATGTTGCAACGAAGGCTCACGAATGCATGATATAATTGCATGGTGAAAAGGGCTCTCAGGTGGATGGCGACGTTTCCTCCAGATTGAGCTCGGACAGCTCAGCTTCTGCACGTAATAGAGCTTCGCCGACTAAAGATGGAATGCAAAATGAGAAAAACGAGATAAAGTGTCAAGATCATCAAACTCCACCTGGGGATTGCCGCAAAAGGAAAATCCTACTTTTAAGTCCGAAAGAAGACGAACAATTGAAAAGTGGCATAAAAAATATGGCTTTGGACAGTGGTCTGCCATTTTAAAAGATTGTGAATACAATTTCCAGACAGGCNCCTCCCCCGTTACGAGACAGTGACGAAAGTGTGCCGAGTGTCTCCGAGTAAAGCCACGCCTACCGACTTGACTTTCGCCACTAAGTTCGTGGCTGTCTACTTGTTCATAAAAGTAAAGGGATCCCGACCGATGACGTATCAGTACTTAACAGTGGATATGGTCGAAACAGCAAAGAGCAATGGAGGCTTTATCGACCAGAAGAAATTCAAGACGGCCGCACGATATGGATTTGATAGTCTCTACTTATCTGATACTAGTCTTCAAGTTCTTGATGCCTACATCATCCAGGTGCGTCCACTTTTAAAGCCGACTTGTGACTATGTCCTCGTGACGAAAAATGGCGGRCAACACAGTAAGATTGGCGAACTCATGGGCAAGATGGTATTTGATGCCACGGGCAAATATATTCACCCGACGCGCTACCGACAAATTGTCGAAACTGCTAGTCAGGAACGGTTGAACAGCCAAGAACAGGAAACGATTTCCGAAGATCAAAAGCACAGCTCGGTAGTGGCTAAAGTTCATTATCAAAAGAGACGATCACGCGAAGTGGCGACGAAGGCTCACGAGTGTATGAAAAAGTTGCATGGAAAAAGGGGATCGCAGCTAGACGATGAGGTCAACGTCCGACTCTCGGACAGCCCAAATACATCTCCAAATGACAAGGATGAATGTGAGAGCACGTCCTCATCTTTCCCAGCTCCCAAAACGAGAAGCATTGCCGACGATTCCGCAAAGTCCAGCCAGGGCAGAAAAAGGAAAATGCTACTCTTTAGTTTAGAGGAAGACAACTGTTTGAAATTAGGAATCGCGCGCCACGGGTTTGGACAGTGGTCTTCAATATTGAAAGATCCCGATTACAACTTTCAAAAAGGAAGGACTGCAAATTCGTTGCTCAACAGAGCTTCGCGAAAATTTTCAACCTTATGATTACCATGAGAACTCATTCATAAACTCGTATATTTGACTGAATAATAGAATGARGATGACACTCAAACTCAAGCTGACAAATCATGTTTATTTTTTTAAAGCGTAAAGAAAAACTTAACATAGATGATAACATAACTTA